TGTGTCTCTGTGTGTCAATGTATGTGAGTGTGCATGTCTGTGTGTGTGTTTGTGTGTGTGAATGTGTGTGTGAGTGACTGTGTGTGTCTCTGTGTGTATGTGTGTGTGAGTGTGTGTGTGACTGAGTGTGGGTGTCGTGTGTGTGTGTGAGTGAGTGTGTGTGTGTGAGTGAGTATGTGGGCATGTCTGTGTATGCGGTGGAGGAAACGTTCAATGAGGTTGGAAAGAAACTAGGTCGTGTAGGGTTTGAAAAGATTAAATGGAGAGTTTAGATTTGAATCCAAAGGCAATGGACCTGGCAAAGTAAGGGAGAGACATGGTCATATCTGCTGTTAAGAAAAATTCCTTTGGCAGTCTTGGGTAGGAGAGATTGGAGTGGGCTGAAAGTTGAGGCAGGGAGACCATTTAGGAAGTGGTTGCAATTATGTAGGCTACAAGTGATGAGCACCTGAACTAAGGTGGCATGCTTCTCACCCTCATATGTGAATAAAGAAGAGATTGCATGGGAGAAGCTGGGTAGGAATAGCAGGATTTGGCAATGACTGGACATGGCAATTCAGGTGATGGAGGAATCCAGACTTTGGACGTGTCACTTTCCAATTCTGGGCCTCATTGCCCTAATTTGTACACTGACAGAGTTGGGTTGGATCACCACGGAGTTACCTTTCTGCTAACAGCCTGCAAAAAAGTCACATCAACCTCTCGGAGCCTGTTTCTTTATTTATAATTTGAGGAGAACAATATAGCAGGCTGCTCCCTGCCTCAAAGGGCCCATGTGATGGTCATGTAATGGCTACAAATGCTTTGTCAAAGGCAAAGCCTGTCTAAGAAGAGCTGGTGTGGATGTGGTCCCTTAGGCCTTACTAAGTGCTTTACAAAATACATGCTCTCACATGAGCCTCACAGCTAGCCTTTGAGGTATGTGCTGTTACCATCTCTATTTTACAAATGGTGAATCTGAGTTTCTGAGAAGTGAAGTGACTTACCCAGGTCAATGTGGAACTCGCCTCCAAGTCTGAAGCTCTATCCAATAGACAAGACTGCCTTTCATCCATTATTGTCACTTCCTGGAAACAGAAAGCATCTTTGCTACGGGCACCTTTTGAAGTCAATCCATTGGATGGCAGAGCCCAGGTCCAACAAAACATCAGCAGGCTAGAATGGGATGAAAATCTAATCAGATGGCCTTTCCTAGGGGAGAATTTGTCACCCTAAAACAGGATTTAATTCATCCGCATCACAAACACAAAGCCAAACAGGCCTTGGGTGGGGAAAGCAAAAGCAACCAACTGCAGTCTGTTAGAGAGCTTAGTGAATAATAAGGTGAATGTGGGTCAACCATGTGACCTGGGAACCAAGAAAGCCTCTCTCCATGGAGGTAACATGGTCCCCAGTGTCAGACTTTGCCGGCGTCCTAAGCTTAGTTCTGTGAACTCCACTTTAGAGAGGATATTTGGAAGCTGGAAGGCGACCTGAGCTGCCCATAAGGATTCACTGTGACGTGGACAGCCTTTCTTCCCCTACTGAGGCTCAAAATTACCTGAACAAGATAAGGGCTTTTCACCTTGTCTTCCCTGCACAAAGGCACCTTTGAGGTTGTCTCTCCTAAGTGGTCCATTAACAGGACCTGGGTTAATTACAGTCCCTGTTCTCACATACCCAAATGAGGCTGAATACCAGAGTCAGTCGTCAGTGGTGCCCCTGGCGTTAATGCCTAATGGAATGGGGTTCCTTGTGTCCCCTAATGAGCTCATTGCTGATCTAAGTATGTTCATTGCAGGTAAATGATCAATAGCCTTGACAATGGCCTCACCTGTGTCTGCTTTAGGTCAGACTAGCATTCTTCCAGCTGGAGCTTGGCATGGCTGCTTGGACTGCTCCAGCCACCTTACACAGAACCTGCCCTATACAGGAGGAGATCCTGGCACAGCAGTCTGTGGGCAGAGGTCAGGGAGCCAGTGGAGCAGGGCACCAGCCACCTGGCCTGAGAAAAGATTCTAGTCTCCATCCTAATGATCCTTACCCCAAGCTATCCTTAATTAGCATAAGAGGAAAATGGACTCAGCCAACGGGAAGTGCAAATGACCTCTTGAGATAGTATTGAAGGCTGTAGTTATTGGATACTCACCAGAAAGCTGTTTGGTGGGACCTTTTAATAGCCCTTTCCCTGTTCTGTGAGTTCTCTCTATAGCAATGGCTAATGCTCACATAGTGCTTTAAGATTTGCCAAGCAATTTCTGAATATTATCTCAATAGACTCACTACAAGCCTGGGAAGTGGGTGCTGTTATTATTCCCCTTTTACAGGTACAGAAACTAAGGCTGAGGGCACTTGAATCACTTGTCCAGGATCACACAACTAAGATCTTCATTACTTTGAGTCCAGCACTACAACCTTGGGAGCACCTAGCTGCCTCTGCAGCTCCACTGGGCAGGGGCGGTTACAGCTTTGTCGCTGTATCCTGTGCCTGGCACATAGTAGGGGCTTTTTAAGTGCTTGTTGATTGTTTTGTTATAATCCAAGCTCCACTCAGACTCTGCTGCCTAGGCACGGCCGTGTTCTTGAGTACCATGGAGCTAACGTGCTGAGACCACACGTTTGAAAATGAAGATGAACCATGCCCATCCGGAACATGTCTGGTTTGCTGTAGTGACCAAGACTCATTTTCCTTGTCAGATTTCCCAGTGCATGGTGATATTTGGTGCTGTTGTCTGACATCTAGGAAGTGTTTAATAAATGCTGGTTGACTTGGCAAATTTTCTAGTTTCTTGGGTGGTTACATTGTCCAGCAGTAGTATTCCTGCCCAAACCATCAGCTTCCATGAAAACCTAAGGTGTGGGGCTGTGCAGAATGCTTAACAGCTTAAATAATGAAGACTGCCTCCTAGTTTTTAATACAATGTATTTTCAGACCCTTACTCACTTTGTGATCCTAGGCAAATCACTTAGCTCTATTTGCTTTAGTTTCTCATCTATAAAATGAGCTGGAAAAGGAAAATGGCAAACCACTCCAGTATCTTTGCTAAAAATAAACAAAAACAAACAAACAAACAAAAAAAAAGCAAATGGGATCACGGAGAGTCAGACATGACTGAAATGAATCAACGACAATAAACACACAACTTGGACACATGTTGAGCTGTTCAACAAGCGTTTCTTAAGGAGTTAGAAGGGGTTATGTACTATGCTACTACACTCCTGTCGATAAAAAGAAAAGCCCCAACCCAGGCCCTGACCTCAGAGAGCAATGTCTAAATGCTGCTGATCTTTTTAGATCATTTCATCCAAATGGGTTTGGGAACAACCATGCCATAAGCCTCAGGTGAATAGAGCTCACAGATCCCTGGGGTATCCAAATATTGTCCTAGAGATGCCACATGAGGAAGGAGGCTTTAAAATGCTGTCGTGCTTTTTCAACTCCTTGTTCACCAGGTTTCATTCCAAATGCTGAAGAGGGGACTCTGCTTATGTGTTCTTTGATATATGTATATATTTTTTTTTCCCCAAGGGTACATGTTTTTATATCTCTCCTCCAAGTCCTCAGTCCAAGCTTTCTCCCTTTGCTTCCCCCTACTGACCCAGCTCCCTTCTATATCAGTAAATGAAGCAACATGTGTGTTTTTCATTCCCTGAGATAATTTTTGTTCAAACCTGACTAAAGTTATTCTCAGATTTCCGAGGTAATAAGAAGCACTCATTGAGGCAGAAGGAACAAAAATATTAACTCTGCTCAATATGCATGAGGTCTCCCAAGAATACTCCAAACCATTTTCTCTTGGCATATTTACAATTCTGAGAACTCTACCATGACTTTCAGCTTATGGATACATTATGAAAAGTCTCAGGGCTTTGGTGCTTTTTAGCACTAAGTAGCTGGTTAGAATCCTCAGCACGACATTTCCGAGGTAAAGTGGTTTGCAGCTGTCAGCCTGGCAGAAATGAATGTTCCATTTGTCTCTCACCCTCACCCCAGCTGCAGCATTTGTAATCTTGCAGAGGCCCAAAGAAGAGGTGAGCGCTGGGCTCCTTAGGGCCACACTGCTGGGAGCATTCTTTGCTGTCTGTTCCGGTTAGGACTCAAAGCAAGATAAACATTCGTGTATCCAAACCGAGTCCACAAGCTTTTTCTAAGCACGCACTCTCTGCACTTATAGTTGGAGTTACAGACACAAGTATTCAGCAGTCCTCAAAGCCATTGAGGAGCTTATGTTCTATGGGCAAGATCTACCAAGTCCATAAATGCATGGAAAACACATGCAAGGTAAATGGAAAGTGATTCGTAGGCGTTGAAGCAGAGGACTCTGCTGAGAGGCAGGATGGAGTGGGATCGAGATAGACCATGTGTATGGGATGGTATCTGAGCGGAGCTTCATAGTATTTTAAGAAAGTACAAAGTGGGAGAATATTCTAAACCTGGGAGAGTGCCTGTGAGTTCCCTATATTCCTCTATATAATATTCCTAGGTACTAATGTTATACATTATTTTTTACTATACACATACTCAGTATTCTTCATATGACAAATATGATGATATTTTCCATAGAATTAAAAACATCATATTTTGAGCCCAATGGACAATATTCACTCCATTCTTACAATGGCATGAGGGGAGATTATACATTGCTGTCTTCATTTTCCAGCTATTGGGAAGGGGAACCCAGAGGAAGGAAGTACATTTCCTCCAGGGAAAACACTCATTCCACGGCTGAGCAGAGCATTGGTGCCTCACTCTACTCAGTCCTGTTTTCTAGCCATTCTCTTCATGACTAATCTCACTAAAGAATCAGGAAGTGAGTTAACTTCCTCATGGTGAAAGCATTTATTTGTTGACCAGAGTGCTTTAGGGTAACAATGGTAAGTTCTTTGCTGGGAATGAACAGAATTCAGATCACGTTTCTGACCAGTTCATTTGGTTATCTGAACCCCAGCAGCCCAGGTCTGCCTTTGATCGAAAGTGTGTCCATGGATTTTCTTTCACATGGTGTCTTCTTTGCATCTAGGTTAGTTCAAGGTGCCGTGGCCTCTGGTGGGAGTGTGTCACAAATTCTTTTGACGGCATTCGAACCTGTGATGATTATGACTCTATACTGGCTGAGCATCCCTGTACGTATACTTTAGACCTCCTTCCCTGCTGGCACAGGTACAAACTACACATCTGGCCACTGAGGCCTGGCCATCCAGGCTTGACTTTGGAAGGTTGTCTTGAAATGTATTGTGTCTGTGGCTTCCTCCCTCCCTGCTTTACAAACAGTCTTGTTGAATTTCAAATGTCTCTTTTGAGTGTTAGGAGGAGTATCACAAAGAAAGAAGCTACATTGGCCCAGAATGAATGAAAGACAAAAAACAAACAAAAACCAACACTTCTTATTCCAGTATAATTCCATAGATGGCCAGTATTTAAGCTATCATTTTCCCTTCATAGCTCCAAAGCAAGAGCTCTTATTTCTTTCTATAGAAGTTGTGTTGAAAAAAGGATTTAATCACCACTTTTCCCTGCCCTCTAAAGGACAGAAAACAGACATTACTTGCTAAACAAATCAGCAAACAGCACGGGAGTGCTGGCTCTAAATATTCTACATCGGATTACCGGTCCTGTTCTTTGGGTTTTCTTATTTCACTTCACAACCTGAATCTGTCAGAAGGTTTCCTACACATCAGAAGGAAAAATTCTCCAGAAGAGAGCGAGCATGGTTATTGCTCTTCCCAGGCTCTCCTCTCTGTACTTTCTGGCGAACCCAAGTCAGTTCCGCAGCAAAACAAAATGAGAATGTCAAGAAGACGGGGCCCATCCTTCTTTTGGTTCCGGTCCCTGCTGACACCGGTGCCTGGCATAGGGGCTTCTAGGCAACTGCTTTCCCTGTGACAAATGAAGCAAAGCTCTGGCTCTTTCCCCTAAAATAGTTTTTCGGGGGAAGAGCAGCAACCCTTCAAGGTAACTTAGTAGAGCTCATCTTGATGCCATTTTAGAGCCAGGGGCCTGAAATATGGTTAACATAATTCAAAAAGCCCATTCATTTCCTGAAAAGCCTCACTTTGCAGTAGAGTTATATCTCAGGACTTGCCTGAGTCTGCCTGCTAATAAGGCCACATAATTCAATGGGGATGAAAATGTGTATGTGTTTCATGCCTGATAAAGAATGCCTCAGCATCATTCAGAAAAGTGGAAAAGGAAAGGAAAAGAAAGGAAAGGAAAGGAAAGGAAAGGAAAGGAAAGGAAAGGAAAGGAAAGGAAAGGAAAGGAAAGGAAAGGAAAGGAAAGGAAAGGAAAGGAAAGGAAAGGAAAGGAAAGGAAAGGAAAGGAAAGGAAAGGAAAGGAAAGGAAAGGAAAGGTTGAGAATTTCCGACATTATACATTTCTCCTATGCACATTTTATACAGAAGACTTTTTTCTTGGATCGTGATTTACTTTAACCTCAACAGAAAGTAATTGAGGTTAAATTCTGGTCCATAATTTCATCTGACTGTTTTGGGAACAGAGAAGAAGTGTGACACGGAGGATAGAGAGGTGGCTTGGACTCAGGAACCAGGGACTGGATATTTAGAGTGGAAGGGACCTCAGAGGCCAAAGGCCAGCGTCTTATTTTAGAAATGAGTAAATTGAGGCACAGTGAAATGATTTCCCTGGTCTTACCCAGCTTGAGTCTGAGGCAGTATTCAAACTCAGGGCTTCGTGACTGGGGCTGCCTTTCAGTGGCCTCAGGGAAAAAGTAGCTAGTTTCACATCACTGTCTCTGACACACATTGGCTATATGAACCAAATCATTTTACTTTGTGCTGGCCCAGACAATTCTCTGAGGCTACAAGTTCAAAAGTTGGGGCTGATCTCCATTAGAAGAGAGAATTCACACATTGTAGTTTTCCATTCCAATGAAGTCAAATTCTGGTCTCCAAATCCCCATACTCAATCAGAAACCCAATTTTATATTCCCATTATGTGCGCCTCTAGTCAGCACCTTTCTCCCGTCTTTCTGAAGTTCCTACGATTTAAGTTGACAGACACTCATGCACAAATTGATGGCACCTGATTATAGCTGAACTGAGCATAGAATCAGAAACCAGAGATCTGGACAGACTATTCCCATTGGACCCTTCTCTGCCCTCCTGATCATTTCAAGGGTGGTCCTTACAGGAGAGCAGCATTTGGTTTTAAGACTTGCCTGAGGCCCTGAAAGCCTTAACCCCAAATGGATGCCACCTCTCCTTCCTCCTCTCTGTTTTCTTCTCAGAGAAAATGCCGTGTTGGTCATGATGACCTAGTCAGAGATTCCTCCTCCTTGCTGATGCCTAGGAACACAGAAATACAAACCCACTGACCATATCATTTTCCCCAAGTTTAGGCTATAGGAGAGAATTCATATTGTCCCACATGTCACTTGCTTTAACTTTAATGTAGTTCTGACTGTCCTTGTTGAATGGAAAGGTTGCAATAAAACTATGGAAAGACTCCCCTGAGTCTTCCCTGTGTACATTTTTAAAGCTAGTCCATCTGACAAATGATACCATATACCATCTTAACGTTCTGAAAGAAGCTAGGAATTTAACTAAAATATGTCCAATGGGGCTTTGAGCCAGGGTACCAAAATCTAGGGAAAGAGTGGCCTTCCTCCCTGGAATGGGGAGTTTCTCCCCATACATTCTCCTCAGGGTAATCTGTTATCTTTCTCTGTGGTCATTACCTTGTCTCACACCACCATCCACCACACTTGCCCCTGGGCCATCCCTAAAATCTGATTGCCACCCCACCTTTTGCCCAGCCAGAGCTCCACTTGGGCCAGCCTGAAACCATTTGAGGGATGGGATACCACTTTCCCAGTGACTATCCTTTCTTTCTACTTTCTCCCTCCTCCTTCCCAGTAGGAGTGGAATTTGGCCAGGGCTCAAGAATACCTGGTTAGGGCCCTGCTGAGAACTGAGAAGGAAGTTTCTGCTAGATCTGCTTTGCTTTTGTATGAATTTTTCTAGGTGAGTTCAATGATGAGCTATTCTAAGGATCTCTCTGACTCCCCATTGTCCCCAGCCTACATTTCCACCAGTTCTTATTTATTTATTTATTTATTTATTTGGTTAGAAAATGTCATGCATACTCAAGCCACAGTGTTCTCTTTAGCAGCCTAAGAAAAAAAGAAAGCCTTTATCCTGTCCATTCTAAATGGAGTCTATCTTCAGGCTGATGGGCAGGCACTGATAGATTGATGGACTGTCTGTGAGGGTCCCAGTCCTCTGAGTGCCAGGGTTCTGGACTTCTGCATGCCTGGGTCCCAACCCTCGGCAGTCAGGGTCCCAGCCCTCTGTGTTCCAGGGTTCTGGCCCCCTGCACGCCTGGGTCCCAGCCCTCTGCAGTCAGGGTCCCAGCCCTCTGTGTTCCAGGGTTCTGGCCCCCTGCACGCCTGGGTCCCAGCCCTCTGCAGTCAGGGTCCCAGCCCTCTGTGTTCCAGGGTTCTGGCCCTCTGCATGCCTGGGTCCCAGCCCTCTGAGTGCCAGGGTCCCAGCCCTCTGCCCTTGGATAATCTTGTGACCTGAGAGGGTCTGATGTAGTCCAGGACTTTCAGGAGAGTTTGACTAACCAGTCCTTCTCTTCTTCTGTCTCAATACAACCACCTGTCCTGCTTTTCTAGTGAAGCTGGTGGCGACCCGGGCTCTGATGATCACTGCAAACATCTTGGCTGCCCTGGGATTCCTCTCTCTGCTGCTCGGGCTGCACTGTGTGAAATTCCTTCCCAATGAGCCCCTCGTCAAAGCTCGGATGTGCTTTGTAGCAGGAATCTTTCTGGCTATGGCAGGTACTTGTGGCGGGGGGAGCTGATGACTCACAGGCTGTAGGATCCGGTATCTCATCCTGGAAGGATCTCAGCCCAGCCCCTCCATTTCCAGAGGGGGAAACTGAGGCGCAGACTGTTGGAATGGCTTGCTGTCACCAAGTGGCAGACGTGGGGTTCACCACCGGGTCACTGGATCCTGAAACCAGAGCTCTTTCCAGCACTCCGAGCTGCCTCCCTTTTGTAACTGAGCTACTTTGGCAAGAACAAAAACACACAAATCCATGGGGAATAGTGACTTGGAGAACGCCGTGCCACATTCTGTTTTCTCCCAGGGAGACCCAGATGCCAACCTGAAGATTCCTCGCCCTATAGCCCTAACTGATTAGAGAAAGAATTCAGGTCAAATCCACAAACCTTCAAGAAACAAAAGGACCTGGGTGGGCCCTTCACAGAAGGGGAGGCGAGGGCTCTCAAGGTGCTGATGGGGATAGCCAACCGATGAACACTTTCAAGGGAGAAGTCTTTGACTGTGGGTCCAGGATGGGGCTGTGGGCCTATTCTTCCAAGGATCAGCCTTGCTAAATTCACAGATTACAAGGCTGTCCTCAGGAGGATGACTTCTCAGGCACAGAAAAAACTATCTAAGATCCAGGGTGGCCACACCCACATAAATCACATAACATCAAGACATCAAAGGAACATACTGTGCTAAATGTGGGAGGAAATTTAAAAAAAAAAAAAAGATGAAAGATGCTGCAATATGTGCCTTCAAGAAGCTTGCAATCTTACAGAATGTAAAACTAGTTTTGTGAAGAAAAGAACTTGTAGACCATAGATTTAGAGCTGAAAGGGACCTTTTTACAGATGAGGAATCTGAGGCACAGAGAGGTTAAAGTGACCTGACCTGGGCCACATGCAAAGTCAAGAGGAAAAGCCAGGAATCAAACCCTGGTCTTTTACTTTACGTGCAGAAGTATTTCCATTCTATAGTGCTGCTTCCAAGTAGACCATAGCAAATGTTCTCTCATCACATGACAGATGAGGAAAAGGCACAGGATGGGGAAAGGACTTTTCTGTGGACCACTAGGTATTGGGAAGGCACAAACAGCAGGCAAAGATCTACCTTTCCATCTCAAGCTTTGCCTAGCAAATCCCTTGACCTTTCTCACAGGACAAAGGGTGGTATAAGAAAAGCCAATAGTGATTTGCTAAATTTTCAGACCTGAACATGTGAATAACACATTTCATTTATGAAAACAAGCAGGTCAATTTAATCTCAATTTGTTTAGTGTGAGAACAGAAAATGAGCATTTTTAAAGTTGATAGATTTCTCTCTTTTTAAAAGTTTTTAGGGACCTTGGGAAATGTTGAATTGCAGATTTAGAGTAGAAAGGAGGCTACCATCCCCAGCCTAAACCTTCACTAAAATCTCCAATTCAGCCAAAATGGACAATAGTTATTTATTTGATGGTTGTCTGATATGGAACTTGCTTACACTATTATTTGTTAAATAATAATAATAATTTCCCTACAGTGTTGTCCATTTTCAAGATGCTTTGAAAATGTGTGAGCCTCACAACAATGCTAGAAGGCAGATGCTACAATTATTATTATCCATATTTTATAAATGAAGCATCAAAACCACAGAGAAGTTAAAGTATTTGCCCAAAGTTACACAGAGAGTCAATTGAAGAGGTTGGATTGGAACATGGGTCTTCTTCCTGACTAACTCTACTATCCATCCATGACTCCACCCTGATTTTCTGATTCGTTGTGATTATGTGAAAGGCACTCTGCTATACTCTGGGGATAGAACGGGGAAAAAGAAAGAAAGAAAAAGAAACAGTCAGTGTTCTCCATGGCCTTCTGTTCTCCTAGGATAATGAGGAAACTGAGGCCTGATGCTGACAAACACCCTCCCCATGCAGTAGGCAGAGGTTCACCGGGGTTGGCCGCCCTGATCTCCTGATTCTATTCCAGAACTCTTTTCCCAGCCCATGCTGCATTATGCTGGTGTCAAGGTCCCCCCAGTCTAGGAAGCATGGGCTGCTCTTTCTGCCCATCTCTGAGTGCCCCTTTTGTTTCAGGTGTTCCTGGGATCATTGGCTCTCTGTGGTACGCAATCGATGTCTATGTGGAACGCACCTCCCTGATTCTACACGACATATTTGTGGGCCTCCAGTACAAGTTTGGCTGGTCCTGTTGGCTTGGGATGGCAGGGGCCCTGGGATGCCTTCTGGCTGGAGCTGTCCTCACTTGTGGTTCATATATCTTTAAAGGTAAATAAATGTAGAGAACATAGTTACACACATGTGTACACACATATACACATATGCTTGCATATATGAATATTTTTGTATAATAGGTGCATAGGCATACAGTTGTATACAGGATGTTCCAAATGTCTTTTTAACTATTAAAACTGAAACTGTGTATATACTACATATTTATGTGTATATACATATATAATGTAACATATACAGATAGAATATCACAATGATGTATGTTATTGTATAGATAAGAGAGAGAGGGAAGGAGAGACAGAGAGAGACAGAGACAGAGAGAGACACAGAGACACACAGAGAGAGAGAGAGAGAGAGAGAGAGAGAGAGAGAGAGAGGAATTAAAATTAAAAGATGAGTGGGCTTGTGATTATTATTTATCTTTTCAAGTTTTAGTTTTGACAACACATCCATTTAGGCTCCTTCCTTGTGACAAAGATCATTTTACTGGCCAATACTCAAGCCTGATTTGATTTCTTCTTCTCTGAATCTCTAAATTCCAAGTACCCTAGGACAACCTGACTCCCAAATGTTCCAAGAGTTAAATTGTTTGTGTAGGGGTGTTTAAGCCAGCTCTAACCAGCTTAAAAGAGCCTGCTTATTAAATGTTGGCCATCACACACTTCTCTTGTCGTATGAACAATGCTTGAGCTTGACAAGGGTGTAGTAGAAGGGTGTGGAAATGAAGTCATCACCACACTGGAGGCCTGGGGACTGTTGGCTCATAACAACAATAATGGTAACAGCAACGACAATAACAACAACAATGGCATTTCCATGATGCTTTAAGTTTGTGACATGCTCCCTGTTTTCGTTTGAGCCTTGTAATACTCCTGGCTGCACGAAAACATGATCAGTACCATGAAGGGAAAAGAAACAACACAAGCACCAATTACACCTGACTCAGTTTTGTGTTAAAACCTGAAGTTTTCCTGCACATGTGACCTATTTTTGTAGGCACATGTGACTGAGTTGAGAGGTTTAGGGTCCCTCTTGTCTTCCTCTAATGCTTCTCCTGGTGTGCAAGTGCCCCTTGGTTCTCACCTGTGCAATTTCACGTTCTCCCAAGCTGACCCAGGAGCTTTGAGATGGCCTGTGCACCTGCAGTTCAAAGGCCAGCCCAGCTATGAATGCCTTTGGCTACAAGGGATGGCTTTTCCAGACGCAGTTGTCCTCTTGCCCTTGGAGGAAGGCTCGGGATGTCCTAGCCTGCCTCTGGGGAGGAAGGAGTGATGGTGATGGTGAACGTCTAGACAAACAAAAGAAGGTCTGAGTTCACGTGATTGGGCAGGGAAGAAGTGGTGATGAGGACAGGCCAGGGAGACCTAGAGAAACTTTGGGATCTTATTCCTTGCTGCCCCTCTAAGGTGATGCCTGCCACTACTTTTTATTCTCAGACAACCTTCAGTTTACATTGTACGTATCCCATACGTGCAGAGTTATTTGCATCTTGTTGTCCCATTTTAATATGAGTTCTATGATCATAGACCTTATTCTGGCCTTTTCTTGTGATCCATGCTCAGGGTGTAGTCAACATGTAAGAAATGCTTGTTAACTGTCTGACTGACTGACCCTCGACCCCAAATTGGGTGCCATCTGGAAACAGAAATTATGTTTTACCATGTAAAAGACCTACCTGCCTATAATTGGGAATAAAAGCTTATTTCCAGTTTATATGTTAGGTACACGGTAGGTGCCTAATAAATGTCCATTCAGTAAATATTGATTAAAGGACACTTGTATTCAGGCATTATACTGGGTCCTTGCTATGTCTGAATCTCAATATATCAACAAGTATTTATTAAGCACCTACTATGTGCTGAGCACCATTAAGGACTGGCAATAGAGAGATGAAAATTACAGCAGTCTCTGCCCTCAAAGAGCTTCCTTGAATTGTATCAGGGAGACACTATGAATGTGTTTAAGGAAGTAGAGAAAATATGAAACATAAATGAATACAAAGTAATGGGGAGGGACAAAGAGGGGGGGGCTTGGATCAGCAAACACTTTATGAGAAAAATTCTGAAGGAACCAGGAATTCTAAGGGATGGAAATGATACATGAATGCATTCTAGGCATAGGGGACAACAATGCAAAGGTGTGGTGAGAGGAGATGGAAAGGAAGATGTATGTAAGAGAGAGAAAGCCTGTTCTGAGGGATTGTAAAGAGGGTAATGTAGAATAAGGATGGGAAAGTAGACTGGGACAAGCTTGGGAAGGACTTTAAACATTGGCCAGAGAGGGCTATATTGATTTTAGAGACCACTGCAATGATTGGAGTTTATTCATTAATGAGTGTTTACTGAATTGAATTAAGTACACACCCAATTGGGTTGTGGAGGATGAAGTATCTGGAAGAGGAGCGTAAAATGGGTCAAGTGGAGTCCCCAGGGGCCTTGTGGTTTTATCACCCTGACCACAAGAAGCTTCTCCTCGTCCACCCTAATCTGGTTGCTGTCTTTGGGAGACGGCCTCCATAGTCTCCTCTATGCATTTTGATTGTACAGAGTTGTTTTCATGCAGTCTCCCCCATGAGGGCATATCCACCGTACTACCTAGCTGCCTCATTCTCAAACCAGAGGTGGTGGCAGAGAAAAGCAGGCACAAATGGGATGCTTTATCTCTCTCCAACACTAGAGGGCATCAGAGAACACTAGTTATCAATGAAGCCCTTGGCTAATCACTTAGGTTAAGACTTCTGTCAATTGACTGCCTCTTGGGACCACCATTCCCCTAGGACATTCTTTCCACCTTTTGCTGTAGCTTTACTCTTTATGCCGGATCCTTCTTATCCCAGCCTCATATAGTAGCTATCTGTATGTACAGGGGCCACCAATGAGAACTAGGTGGCCTCAGAGACTCCTTTTTCACTTGAAAGTAAACAGTTCTCACATTTTCCCCAAATAATTGAAAATCTAAAAAATCTTACCTCCATTTCCCAATATTTCTCTTTCTGTATCTCTCTCTATTGGTCTCTGTCTCTCTCACCATATCTGTCTCTTCCTTTCTCTGTCTCTTGGTTTCTCTTAGGTTGGTGGCATAGCAGATAGAATGTTTGACCCGGAGTCAGGAAGATAGGATTTTAAATCTCGCCTCAGACTCTTACCAGCTGTGTGACCCTGGGCAAGTCATTTAACCTTTGCTGCTTCAGTTTCCTCATTCGTAAAATGGGGGAGGGGTAATAGCACCTGTACCTCCCAGAGTCATTGTAAGGATAAAATGAGGTACTATTTATAAAGTGTTTTGCAAACCACAAAACACTATGTAAATGCTAGTTGTTATCATCGTCGTTGTTGTATGCAATTAAGCTGAAGTAAAACAATTCCCTCAACCCTAAAGTCTTCTATATGTTCCTTCCACCCACTGTTTTGCCATGGATTTATTTCTTCATATTCATATTCTTCAGGGTGTTTTTTAAATAAATTTTTTTTCCCTACTGACCCTTTTAAATCATTAACCTGTCTGTAATGCTATAGGGCATCATTCTAAATCATTGACAAGGTGGATTGAATGCTTATTTGTAATCCACAATTCATTTCTTCCCCAAAGCTGATCAAATCCCATTTGATTTTTTTTTTTAATCCAGTCCTGGTTCTCATTCTTGTCCTACTCCTCTCTGTTATTTAAATGCTTTTCTGTAATGTGATACTGTGTTACATCATTTAACACAAGCCATAACACTTTCTTTTTTAACATAAAATACGTGTCCCCATTTCTCCATAAGAAGGAGCAGTATTTTAAAAGGGAGATATGTTATGGCACACTGAGGAACTTGCCTCTTGAGGCATGGTTTCCCCATGTCCTGTCTGGAGTCTAGAAAGGCAGCGGAACCCAAGGTAGAAAACGGCCTTGTGTAGAGAAGAAAGTCATGTGGAGATGAGATCCGAGTCATGTGAGGGATGAGGGGCATGCAGTTAGTCTGACAAATTCAAAAGAACCCTCTCCCCCTGAGACTGAAGATACAAATGGGTGAAGCTGTGGAAGATTTTGAAGTGGAGATGAGAGTGTTTAAGGTGGTCCACAGAACGTGAAAGGGTTAAGGCTGGCCATTATTATAGCTAGATAAGTGCTGCAGAGGATTTAGTGGCAGGCCACAAGCCAAGCAGACCTGAATTCAAATTTATCCTCAGACATCACTTAAACTTTGTCTGCCTCAGTTTCCTCACCTATAAAGTGACAATACTAATAGCATCTACCTCCCAGGGTGGATGTGAAGATCTAATGAGATAATAGTTGTAGAGCAGTTAGGATAGTGTCTGACATAGAGTAAGCAGCATATAAACATTAGTTGTAGTTATTATTATTATTACTTTTGGAGCAGCTAAAGGAGGTTTCAATAGGTTGTTAGAATTAGGAAGAGATTCCAGATTTGATGGAAAAGACTGTGTGTATTGAGAGCACACATTGCCGGTAGAGGTATGGAGGCAAAGCTGGAAAAGTCCATGGGAATAACCTAAAAAACATAATGGTATTCCCATCACTCTAGTATCATGGGCCTTCAAGCCCAATATGGCGTCTCTGACATGGTATGAATGGAATGTTGATATCACTTGAATGGCTAAGATGAATTTTGCCTTTTAGTTTAAAGATAATTATTTCATTTTAATGTATATACCAGAGAAAACCAGCAAAAATGGGATTTTATGCTAATTTTTAAAATTTATTAATTATTATTAATAATATTTATAAATTAACATCTATACGTTGCTTACTATGTGCCAGGCACTGTGCTAAGTGCTTTCTAGTATTCTTTCATGTTATCTTCACAAGGACCCTGGGAGGTAGGTATTATTATCATTCACATTTTTAGTTAAGGAAACAGAGGCAAATGGGAATAAAGTGACTTGTCCAGGGTGACCCAACTAGAAAGTGTCTCATGTTGGCTTTGAACTCAGGTCTTCCTGAGTCCAGACTCAGTGGTCTGCCCACAGTACCACTTTGATGCCCGAAGTTACATTCCTTAGTTATGTTTCAGCCCAGTTATTTAAGTGGTAGATAATTTAAATTAAACCTCTAGGACTTACATAAGGTAGAATGAGTTTTGGACTTAGAGTAAGGAAGACCTGAGTTCGATGCCTGCTTCTGATGTTTACTATCTATGCGACAACAAGCAAATTGTTTAGTAGCCGACGACTCACTAAGGCTTATTATGTACTAAATAACAAATAAAAATCAGTCAGCATTCGATCCACAGGATCATGCATACTCATATACTGACTTGATGCCATGGAACATGTTACAGCTTATTTTCTCTTTCAATTTGCCACATTTCAAAACTCATCTCATTTTCTCCTTTCTCTTGGTTTTATTTATTTTTATGCAGTATTTCTATGTCATTATTTTTGCAGATTTGGGACCAGAGAGGAGCTATGCTTATTCCATAAGCAAGGCCTACTCCCATGCCAGGATCTCCATGGCAAATTCCTATGTCCCAACTCGAACAGAAACTGCCAAAATGTATGCTGTGGATACAAGAGTGTGACTCCTCTTTCCCTGTGGGAGGCTGTGCCCACACCCCACTCAAATACCAGTCCATTTACTCAGCTCAATAAAGATCCATCCAGTTAGGCCAAAATATCATTCCATTTATGTCTTCAGTTGACAGGAGTGGTTAAGATCACTGGAAAGGTTAACGTAAGAGCCTCCGGTTATCACTCTTATCTTCTTTACTTCCATCTACTTCTTTCCTCATTTGCTTAAATGCTCATTATCTTTTTCATTAAAAAAAAGTCCACTTTGGCTTTCTGATCAAGTTGCCCTTAACTTTGACATGTGCTTGGAATTTGTCTATTGGTGTTACAGATGAGAACTTAGTGACATTAAGCAGGGTGTCTTTTTTAGGGAAGAAAGCTGGGTAATATCAAGAAAAGAACAGAGATTAGGATCTTGGTGACTAATGGGAGCCTTCTTACTCTCTCATGCTCTCATGAATCTCACTTCTGTGAATCATACAATAAGTATGAGAAAAGATAAATCAGTCCGGCAAATCAATGTCTACAGCTGTCCTCTTGCAGAGAAAATGAGAAAAACTGGGCAGCTGCATGAAGCTGCCATTGGTGAGAGAATGAAGATGAAACTCATTCCCCTCCACATGTTAAATGAGCGGCTGTGTTAGAGGAGAAGAGCATGGATACCATCAACTTTAGGAATAACAGGCAAAGAGATTTGCTGTATTTCTGCCACGGCAGCTGTCTCAGAGACTGCAGGCACTAAGGACTTGGACTAAAGCAGCATGCTCAAGACATGGTTTAGTCAAACACGGATTGCACCAACCTGGCCCACTTTTCCTCATGAGGTATAGCTGAATGGATGGCTCTTTCAACTAGAGGTCCCCCGTTCTAGCAGAAATCAATTTCATTGTTCCTGCTTACTAGAAATGCATAACTCTCCTGAGAAAAGTTCTGCGTCTCCTGTAAAATACGTTGTTTTTATACAGTGCATGAAATCTTAAAGTAATTGCGTATTCTGAATTTCATTGTATTTGCATCTATGATGTAATCATGAAGAGCTTCCCCTGCAGTAATTGTGGGCAAATGGCAGCCAGTGGGGTAGAAGCTATATCTAAAAATAAAGAAACCATACAAATATTGTATTACGTTTTTCCCTTATGCCTAATTATTCATGTAATTTTGGGACGTATGTAGGATGAACACATTCACGGTACCTTAGGAAGAATCCCTATATGTCGGAGCTAAGAGAGACCTTAATGATTAGGGTCTACTCCCACACCCAGGTTAAGTAGATGAGGGTCAACCCTGAGGTTTCAGAAATTGAGGTGACTTGACCAAGGTCATGCAGTGAGTTCATGACAAAGCTAGAACGAGGTTCCAGCCACCTGGTTAGCCCATGTTTTTCCCCCTCTGCCACACTGCCTCCAGATAACTGACCTCAATAGAGGCTCTTGGAAAACTAGAAATAAAAAAGTCAAAATTGAATGTCAGTCAGATTAGAGTTCCAAGAAGTGCTTGAAGTATAAGATGCAAGAGAACTAGGTTTTACTTCATCCTTTGTCCTTGTGTATGGAAGATGAAAGTTGACCCTGGTGTATTACATGTGAAAGTAAGGGCAGCCTTTCAAGGGAACTTTGACAACTTTCTTTCTTTGTCCTTTCTTAAGGCCTCTTTTTTTTTTTTGTATGGATGAGTGTGCCAGAGGGTGATGGTGATTGTTGAAGAGTTCGAATGATCCAACACATTTCTGCACTAAAAATGATTTTTAATAAAAATATGTATTTCTAATAAGTTGAATTGTTTGCTGATTTTCTAGAGGGAATTGTTTTCTTATACATCACATCTTAAGGAGGTGCAATGTAATAGGTTTTTGGCTGTGCTCATGCTACATGTAAGATGTATAGAATTGGGGAGGGGAGGAGGAATGTGCTCCCTTTTATTCATCTTCTCAATCATCAACTCTTCCAATTACACAGCCAATAAGGGCACTTGTACAATCTCACAGTGCAAATCTTAGTGATGAATAACACGTGACCAGTACCTGGCTCCCTAAGCTGTCCCATAGCTTCACGAGGTTTGCTGTGTTCACTCCTCCAATTCACTTTGGAATTGGTAGGTTGGATCTCCACAGGGGTTATTATAGTGGTGATGACTCTCAGGGTTCTTATTTTGTCCCTAGGAGTCACTAGTCTCCTTCCCTGTAGGTCATGAGCCCCTATCAGTGTCCTTTCCCTAAACAATCATCCAGTACTTTGGCAAAAGCTAATGAACTCAGCTCAAATGGCATGGGAAGAACAGTAGTTCAAAAGTGTTTTCCCCAAATCAGGGCATTACCCTATGTCAAATGCATGCAGGGTCAGGGGGACAGATTGGGAGGGAGAGAATGGGCACACATGTAAAATATGATGGTAGGAGAGGTGACACATGGCCAAGTCAATTCCAAACTCCAGGTTTCAATGCCCTTGATGTGCCTGGGGATTCCTCGTGAAGTTTGCTGCAACCTGTGATGTCAGAGATGGATGACTGAGTGTCCCATTCAGCCGGCCTGACTCTTTACAAGGCACAGATTATCTGCTTTGTGGACAGCTTAGGTGGACCTGCTTATTGTAGGTCTCAGTGTCCCAGCTGAATGGATTGGGTCGTTCTCTGATGGGCTGAGCCAAGGTGGACATCTGCTAGTGTATTGGTTTATACCAGGCTTTACTACTGCTGGGCTGGATTACACAGGTTATTCAGTCACTGGGCAAACATGCTGATGGGCTGGGCTGGACATGTCAATTGACCCCTGGGCAGCTGTTGCTGGACTAGGTCAGGTTGGTCACTCAGCTGCTGCCAAGCTCCTGCCAAATTAGGCTTGCAGGGCACTCTGATGCGGAGCAGCTGGTCCTGGAATGGTCTAGGCAGGACACTAGGCAAGTTTGGTCACTGGCTCCATTCGAGGTGTAACATCTGTGAAATGGATTAATCCACGGGACTTCATGGGCTCAGCTGTATCACCACAAGCCGCTGGCATGGCTGAGTGGTATTTTCTCTTCAGCTGTAGCATTACCTAGTCCTTTGACCTCGACACTAACCCTTAGGCTAGAATGGACAGAAGTCTCCTCTTTGATTCCCTCAGAGCCTTGGTTCCAAGGTTGGTAATGTCTAGACAACACATGTTAGAGATCTGACCTCTCATATGTGACCATCTTTCCTACTTTAGGGTCAGGTACCTCAGATAATGACTTTTCTTTTGGTAATATGGGCTTCTTCTGACCACATACTCTAAGGTCCCGGCCTGTTACATTTTGCTGCACTTCCTTTACACACCTGGGATTCTGTGGTCAATTGAGGGAGGTAGAGATTCTGTCTTTTCTGCCATTAGGTCAACTCCTCACTAATTGTGTCTCGTCCTCACTTTAGGGGGCCCATGATAAGCAGTCTCCATTAAACACTGAATATCAGATTTGCTTTTACAAAGGGATATTTACACACATCTCCATCAATGCGTTGGGATATAGCCTCCCCCCTCCCTGCTCCTTACGATCTCAGTCTCTTGGGGAGGGGGGCGAAATATTAGAATAAGAACTCAGTTCAGCTCTTGCATTAGTCCCACCAAGTTCAAAAGCAACACTGTACTGGGTTGACATCCCCAACCCTTCTTCCTCATGTGTTATATCCTGGGCACTATCTGGTCTGGATTCCTGGATTTCCGGAACCCCATGGCTCAAGCTCTCAGGTTGGAAACTCTATTCCCTACATTTAGGATGGTAAAGGAGGAGGCATGTGGAGAGGGGGTCTTTAGGATCTCTCCCAAGTGCCTCATGATATTGCCTGAAATGAGTGGAGGAGTTTTTTACCCTCAGATGAAAATGCATGAAAAATTCTGAGATGCAGTTTTAAAAACTTAGCCAGTTATGTCTTTGTAGCCAATTGAGTAAAAGACTGCTCTTGTCTAGATGGTAAGTCAATCTAGAATGTCCACACATGTTCTAGCTCTCCTGTCTCCTAGAAGCAGTCATGCTCAGTGTATCCCATTTGGGTGACACAATTTTAGGTGTGCACCAAATCCCCATTACCCTTGGCACATGGTGTTCAGTTCTGAATGGGCTGGTACCCTTCCCAGAATTCGTTTGTGGTCATAGGCAGGTGAGTGATTGGGAATAAAGACAGGAACATAGATGATGCCCTAGTGACAAGATCATTGTGTTTGCTAATGTCTTTGAATCCAACTGAGTTATTCCAGATTCAGATTCTCTCTGAGGTGTGGAATATTCATTTTGCAATCTAAGAATTTCTCCTTTTGCATGTCAATGGCTATCTCCTTTAGCCTTTTCTGATCTTTTGGCTTTACTGAAGTCTGTTTGGGACACACTCTTCCACTTGGTAGCAAAAATGGATATGCTAATCAAAGCTCTCCTTATACTCAATCACAAGACATTCCACAAAAAGCAGAACTCTGTCTGGTAAGAGGGTGTCTCACACACCTTGGGCATGCAGTGTGAGTTCTGGTGCCTTAATGAGCACCCGGTCTCATCGGTGTCGGTGCTCCCTCTAAAGAGGCAGACCTAACCCACTCACATGTTCTCATCCTCTGAGATTCTTACTCATGTTCTCCTGTAAGCAACAATTGTTCAGTTGTTTCAATGGAGTCTGACTCTTCATGATCCTATTTGGGCTGTTCTTGTCACAGATTTTAGAGTGCTTTGCAATTTCCTTCTCCAACTCATTATATAAATGAGGAACTGAGGAAAACAGGGTTAAGTGACTTGCCACATGTAATATGTATCTGAAGCCAGATTTGAACTCATAAAGATGAATCTTCCTGACTTCAAGCCCAGTCCTCTAGCCACTGTACCACCTTATTTGCTGCTTTAAAGTTGACAAAGTACTTGATGTATGTAACCTGTGGCCCTGAATCCTGCCCCCTCCCCCAAACTCAAAGTGATTGGGTTTGACTTCAAATTAATCTTCTTTTGCCTCATTGTTCCCATCTGCACTGATCTAGTAAAGTCTCTCTCCCCACCCTTGCACCCAATCTTCAGGGTAGTTGATGTCTAGGGCATCCCAAAAAAAGAGGTGTGGTCTGCCAATCCTGCATGCACACTCAGCGTATGGTGTGATCACTGCCTATAGGACACTCTAATCTCACCCCATATAAAATGCATAAGACTGAGTATTCACAGATGCCCTTGAACAAATGAAAAATCTCAAGGTATTCTAGTAGTCTATAAGCTTTCCCAAAGAAGGGAACAGAACCTGAGGGGTTTTATTTTTGAAGCTCCCTTCTGCCATTTTGATGATTCTTTATTATAGAAAGAGAATGTCCACAAGTTTTCCTTAGACTTGGAGTATTTGCCTTGTTGCTTAGACTCCTGTCAGATGGAAACATGCCTTGGAGCCTGATGAGTGAGCAAACCCTTTCTCCCCGGTCCTCCATTGTCTGAGCATGTCGGTGGTTTTGTTCTCCAAGTGCCATGCTGAAGAGATACTTGGCAGTCCTCTCTGTCTTCTAAGGATCAAGAAGTGTCAGAGATTCTGTTCTCTCTAGAAGGTCCTTTCCAGGATATTGACTGTAAAAGAGGGAGAGATATATGATGATGTCTTGAGGAGACATAGGAACAAGTAAAAAGGACTCGTTTTTAGAATGGGGAAAAAGGCACATTTATGGGTGGTAGAAGAGTCATTTTCTAAAGGCAATACTTTTATCTGAAGCATCAGCCACATAGAAGAATTAGAGGAATAATTGTTTTGTTTGGGAGCCATCCAAAGCAAGTTTTCCTTGGAAAAGTCTGCTGTGCTACACTAGTGAGACACTCATTCAAAGACTGTGTTGCTGTCCATTTTCATCTTCCTCCTTTGACTGGGAGAGTAGATCGGGAACAAGATCCCCGATCATTGCCATGCAGGTC